CCAGGTGGGGCCGGCAGCAACCAGGGCTGGGTTCAGTATTCACGGGTTCCTTTTCAACAATACAACACAGAACCGGCTCAAGCCGCCACTCAGTAACCTAGGAAAATTACACACCACCCCTGGGCGCCTCTGAGAGGCAATACTTCCTCACTCGCAAGCACAGAGTCTGCGTGTAGAAAAGAAACTTTTAATGAAAGGAGAGAAGTCACCTGACATGAATTAGGGAAAATGCCACAAGGAGGATTCCTAAACAAAACTGTCAGCAGGACGCCCACCCCAGAGTGCATGGGGCAGAAGATGATTTTCTACAACCAAAAGTTCCTTTACTGTGCCCCCCTCTGCTCCCTCACCATACCTCACTCACAGTGGCTGTCCTTGGTCAGCGAGGAGCTAGGGTTCAGAGGCACATCTGTGTGAGCTCACCTCCCACCTGGGGAAGAAGGCACCTTGCTTGCTCTACTATCTGAGCACTTGTTCTGGCTGGCTGCCCCGCCAGTCATGGTTCCTTGATGCCTGGCCATCCCACCAGTTGCGGTAACTCACCCTCTGGCTGTCCCATCAGCCACTGTTTGCCACTTTTGCTGGCTGCCCGTCAGTTACCTTCTGCTGTCACCTACCTCTCTGCTCTGACCTCTGTAGGTCAGTCTCTTAGTGATTTTCAGTAGGCTGGGCAGAAACACTGCCCTTCCACAAGTGATTTCAGCTCTTATTGAATATTTGAAATAATAAAAGGCTCCTAATTAAGCCTATTTAGCACTGTCTGTGAGCAGTAGGGAAAACAGATTAAACCAGATCAGGGACCCTTAAGGAGAGTCCACATCTCATGGCTGGGACACCTATCTCCACCACCTCTTACTTTCACAGGGGTCTAGCATTCGAGCCCCTGGCTTTCAGCTGAGGGTGACCCCCTCATTTGGGATAGGTTAAGGACAGTTCTGCTCCCCTTTATTCATACAATAAAGACAACATTGATAACATTTCACTACCCCTTTATTCAGTTCTAAAGTGATTTGTAACCCAACACCAGCCAAAGTTGATCACTTTGAGCAACACAGCTCTATCTGCTGCATATCTTGGCAGAGTGGGTGTTTTCATGTAAATACAGATTGCTCCTGAAGTCTCTACCCCTCCCCAGCTAGCTGTCAGAGGAAAGTTCATTCAGACTCTGCTTACATAAAATTCAGTTACAATTCCTACTGTAACCAGATCTGTATGCACAGAATCATATTCCTGTGTATAAATGCAGCAATATTGTGAAAGTTAACTCTGAGCAATTAATATTGTATTAATGTATCTTTTTGCACTGAGTTCACTTGTTTTTTAAAGTTAAGGAAAATACATTTTAATTAGTTTCTTTATTACATTTAGTTTAATAAAAAATGAAGTTTCTTTTACTTGGACTTCTATGACTCCGCCCTTTTTTATTCTCTTTTGTTTTGTCTCATTTTGATCTCAAGTTTTAGAGAGGAAGCATACAAAAAAATTTCTTGAGTAGTTATAGACTAGTCTGTTTAATCAATAATTGCCTCTACTATTACTTTCCACATAACTGTTTCCAGAAATTAATTCCAAAGTGGTTAGGAAAAATTGTTTTTATCATGTCAGTTATTTACATTTGTTTTGTTATTTTTGTAGAATTCCATTTGAGAACCCCGAAGATGCTGTTTTTGTGAGGGCAATGAAGAGATCTATAATGGAATTTTCCTCTGTGGACTGGAATAAAATACCCACCTGTCTAGGAATATGCCTTGAAAACAAACCAGAAGAACCCCATGAGAAACTGACAGTCAAATTCAGATAATTGTTTGGTTCCTTAAGAAAATATGTACCTTCATGTTGGATATTAAACTTTTATTGTAAGTTAATATCCATAAGACATGTATGCTATAACTTATGCTTGATTAAAAACTTTCAGCAGGAAAAATTTAAATTCATTTCCTTTAATCCCAAATGGGGGGATTCAAGGATTAAAGTTAGAAAATGCTGGTCACAGATTTGCTGTAACTTTATCATAATGTTGTCACTAATTGAATTCTCATGAGTACCATATTGTCTGTTGTGACAAATTAACAAAGCAAACCTGTACATTAATTTTTAGGACACTAAGGATGAATATATTCATCTCGGATAGTCTTTGCTGGTGGCCTCCTCTTTTCTAAATTAGTCAGGCTTCTCTTACCACCTTAGTTTCTAACACATCCAGGTCAGATTAAGACTTCATATGGCCCTTCTCTTTCCAAAATGAAGTTACTGCAAGGTTCTCTGTGTATAAGTTTGTTATATAGTCCTTATCACGGTTATCTTAATTTTTTCCCCATTCCCAACTCCTGCTACAGTCCACTTTTGTCCTTTGCTGATTGCTGTTTCAAAGGAAAGTGTTTGGAACTGGCAGCAGGGAAAGCTAATTACATTAGGAATGTAGAGAAGATGCAAGGTAAGTCCACGCTGGCTTCTTACAAGAGTCCCAACATTTCTTATCTCCTGTTAGCCAGAAACCTTTCTTGGCAATTGTTCTCAAAGTGGTCAAGCTGAAACACTAGGAATTAGCCAGACAGAGGTGTTAATCACACCTCATGGGAAAACTCTACTGCACTGCTCTCATAGAGAACCTCCTGAGCTGTTCCATCAAAGGAAAGGCAGGATTTATCTCCCAGTGTATGTGGGGTAGGGGAGAGCTTTTGGTGGATCAGAGAGCCATAATTGAGCCCACAGAGACTAGCCTGCATCCCAGCAGTTAAACACTGTAGGTGCTTTATCCCAGGATGTACTGTTAGAAGGGATCTAATATTTTATCTCACAGCAGTATGAAGCTGAGTGTGGTGTAGAAGAAAATGTTCAGCTCCAGGGAAGAGGGAAGTACATTGCACTGAGACAGTTGCAATGTAAGGTTACACTCTGATTTACCCAATTACAGAAGTAAATTTCATGTTGTTAAATTCTCTGAAGATTTTGTGTGCACTGAGCATACTCCAGCCTAGGACTATAGGGACCCAAGCATGACTTTCCCTCTAATTGCTCCTCCCCACTGCCAGGGACCGATGTGCCACCAAGCATTGGAACTGACAGCAAGGAGACTGTCTCTCCTGTGCTCTCAATGCTCCCCCTGCTAATATGGAAGAGAAGGAAGAAGCTGCCTGACTGAAGAGAGGTGCATGTGGGGAAGGTGGCTTGCGGGAGCCAGAGGGTGAGGAGGAACAGAGTGGGGACAGCAGGAACAGGAGCTAGTGGAGGGAGACAGGAGCTGTAGTGGGGTGCAAGGAAAGGGAGAGGGGCTGAAGAGGTATATAGGCACAGAACAGGAGGAGGGCAAAAACCAGAGGATGGAGGGGATTAGATAGAAGCAGAGGGGGGCAGGGGCAAGAGCCAAGTGGGGGATTGGATAGGAGCAGAAAGTGGGGGGGGGGAGAGAGGCAGGAACCAAGGTGGGGGGTAGGTAGAAGGAGAGAGAGACAGAGCCAAGGTGGGATGGCTCTGTCTCTCCGAGGCAGCCCCATTCTCCTCTCACCCATATTTTCCCCCGCTTCTCCACCCCATAAATGCCCCTTAGTCTCCAGGCCACCAAGCATTCATGTTCTAACCTTTTGGTTTAAAAAGAAAAACAAAACCAAAAAAACCCTTTGATTACATTCTGCCAAAATAAAGTAACTCTGGAAGGGGATGTGAGAAGGGGGGTCAGGTGAGGGACATATGGGAGCGACCACTAACTCCTACTAACAAACATTTCTCTAACTCTTTAGAAAACTAGGAAATTAAATGGCAAAAAACTTCCTTAAGACAGTGTTACGGTTGCCAGGATAGCTCATGGTCCTCCAGACTGTCAAGAGGGGAGGGATAGCTTAGTGGTTTGAGCATTGCTAAACCCAGGGTTATGAGTTCAATCCTTGAGGGGACCACTTAGGGATCTGGGGCAAAAATCAGTACTTGGTCCTACTAGTGAAGGCAGGGGGCTGGACTTGATGACCTTTCGGGGTCCCTTCCAGCTCTATGAGATATTATAATCACAGGTCTTCCAGCCTGGTCCAACTTACTCCTCCACCATTCAATATAACTACACCTAACACAGCTGGAGTTTCCAGTGGCTATTGCCAGCTGCATGGGAGCAGAGTTAAGGTTGTGTGGGTGTTTACCTTAACCCTGAATTTCCCAGGTTTCAGAAGTTTGAGTTTTGTTGAACTTGACGTTCTGGAAGGGCACCAACTATCACCTGGCAACCTTAACTCTGTGTTAATTTTTTTTGCCATTTAATTCAATGGCAACTGATATACATGCTCTCTGGGATATTATTTCTTCCTTTAGATTGACTAGGGAGTCCTGTTTTCTCTATGTGAGCCTTTTAAAGACCCAATCCTACACACACCAATTACTGAGCATAGTGATTCCTATAGCCCAAATTCTGTTACCCTTACACAGGGTGAGTGGTACCTTACTTTGTGAACTGTCCCATTGATTTCATGACATACTGTACCACTCATCAAATATAAGGGTGACAGAATCAAGGGTGACTGGGAATTTTCCCGTTGGCTTCAATGGGGCCAGGACTTCACCTTTTTGTCTTGTATGGCCATCAATCATGTGGTCAATGCTTACCAAATATTTCAGAAACATAAAATCTCACTGTTCTAGAAAGGAAACCTTTCCTTAAAATGAAATTTAGAAACTATCCCACTCTAGTCAATGTAAATGTTTAATATTAAAAATTTGGGCTAATCTTTTCATTGGTCTGTGACAGACTTGAATATCTTTGAAAAAATAATTGCCCACTTCACTTGAAGAGGTCTCCTCCAGCATCTGTGAACCACTTATCCTTAGCAACTTGTCCCCACCTTGTATTTAGCTTACCCACACTGGTTAGCTTCCCCAGGCCCAAAGAAGAGCTCTGTGAAACTCAAAAGCTTGTCCCTTCTACCAACAGAAGTTGGTCCAATAAAAGATATCACCTCACCTGTCTTGTCTCTCTGAACAAATAAGTAATTATTTGAAAGATACATTTCACAGTCAACTTGAGACAGCTGGATCAGCAGTATCATTTAATGAAAATTGTCACAAAACAGACAAATTATATATTGCTGTGCACCAATAGCGGAAACTAACTAATCACAGTAAAGACAGTGAAGAGTGTTCAGAATCCAGATGAAGACTCTCAAAAAAAAAATTAAAAAAAAATTATATTGTGAAGAGTTGTAAAGAAATTAAACTGCTAACCTCCCATATGACTTCATAAGACTCTCTCAGCTTCAATTTTATTGCATGTGGAGAAAAATCTTTAATTTACTATATGTAGGATTTTAATTTTTGAAAACAAGGATAATCCAAGTGATTTGAATGTTTTCCCATTTCACTAGCAAGTGGCTTATTTTCCACAGATATTCATAGGTTTACTACACTTGTTGTAGGTACAACCAGAGGGATATATGCAAATATAGTATTGACCAGAGTATAAATGACTTGTCTTGACAACCTATAATGGAGTCTAAAGTATGTGATTATGCTGGCTTATTTCTTAACTTAGGGGAAAAAAAGAGACATATGCTATCTCACACAGGAAGTCTTGCATATGCTATGCAGTGAGGGCTATAAACATATTCAACTTAGAATATGCATCGTGACACTGAAGTACAGGGACTTCAGCCAAGACTTCAGTCCCCTGCCCACCATCATCTTACTCTTCAGATTCTTGAACTTTTTGCACAGCGATGTCAGCTAAGCTGGTCTCGCTTTCAGACGGATTGTCAAGACGAGGTTGTGGGGCTGCTGGCTCATTGTTAAGCACATTTTCCTCTGTTCTCTCAACTGCTTGATTTGGATCCACTTCTTTGGTAGCTCCTGGGTGAAGGTCTGACTGCTCCTCATTTGTGGAACTAGGATCAGCTGCCTGTGCTTCATCTAACAAAAAAAGACATACACATCTCATAAACGCCATCATTAACAAACCCCTGGAACACCCACACAAGAAGTGGACATTGTTATTCTTAAGGCTGAATTTGGCAGGTACATTCTCTTTGTTTCACTGAGAAGTTTATTCACCCTGCTATCAAACAAGTTTCCTAATATTTATTCTTCTAAAAGTAGTAAGGAAGCAGGACTACATTAAGTGACCTTAGACACAGGAATTCTGCCTAAGGCAGGGGTAAGCAAACTATGGCCTGGGGGCTGCATCCAGCCCTTGAGCTCCCGCTGGGGAGCGGGGTCTGGGGCTTGTCCCACTCCGTGTGGCTCCCAGAAGCAGCAGCATGTTCTCCCTCCGGCTCCTAAGCGTAGAGGCAGCCAGAGGGCTCCACGAACTGCCCCAGCCCCAAGCGCCGCCCCTTGCTGGGAACTGCAGCCAATGGGAGCTGCAAGGGCAGTGCCTGCGGACAGGGCAGCGCACAGAGCCGCCTGGCCATGCCTTTGCTTAGGAGCCATAGGGGGGACATGCTGCTGCTTCTGGGAGCTGCTTGAGGTAAGTGCTGCCTGGAGTCTGCACCCCTGACCCCCTCCTGCACCCCAACCCTCTCCCCCAGCCCTGACTCCCCCTCCCCCCTGCCCTCTGAAACCCCTTGGTCCCAGCCCAGAGCACCCTCCTGTACCCCCAACCTCTAGGGTCTACTTAGGGGTCAGAGTGATTAAAAAAGCCCATTTTGGGTCCTTAAATTTACATGAGATGGTCACTAGGTGGAGTTGTTTTCTGATACACTAATAACTGCTCTGCAGTAGTATTTTCACAGCCCAGCTGAGGAGAGCTACTCTCCTGTGAGTAAGGCAAGAATGACATGGCTCCTGTATTTTGTAACTGCCTACAATAAAGTTAAAACATATAAAGTAGTGATAAAATGGGGAAGGGAAGTGAGAATGAGCATGTATGCTACTTCAGGGACTTTCCTTTGAATTACATACAGGAAAATTGTTTTGGAGGAAAGGTGTTAGGCATTTTTACTCTGTTGCAGGATCTTCAGAGTTTGTCATTTTGTTAGTGATTGTAAGGAAAGAACCCAAAACAACCAAATAGCCACCCCCTACATACTCACACAAGAGTTCCTTGTTCCTCTCCCCATACCCACAATATAGCGAAGAATTAACTTCGGAGTTAACCTTTTGGACAGTGGGTTAAGTGTGTGGGTTGGCGGTTCTGTTTTTATTATTCAACTTGTCACTTGGTCTTCCATTTATACAGTGAAGTTATACAGTTAGGATTTCAGGTTTTTTGATCAGAGCTTTAAGATTTGAAACAGCAAAGTTAGAATTCCTGGTGCCCGATTGTACTCAAGAGTCATGTGTATTTCTGTTATTGTATACAAAGTTATGCTTTCACAAATAAGAAGTTAAGCATTCCAACAATTACTGCCATTTTTTTCTACCAACCAAGACATTCTCTTAAACCTCACTTAGTACATGCAGTAACAGAATTTACTTTTGCTTCTTGTAGTAGAATTTGTTAGCGCAGGATTAATTTTAGTTAGCAAACTGTAGATCCTAACCTCTCTCTTGCTTTTTTTCTTGTCTCCGTTTTTCTTTGGCAGCTTCTAGCTCTTGCTTCTCATGAGCTTCCTTCAGCGTCTTACAAACTTTTTTGTGGGTAAACCAGTGTATTTTCTGGCAGTTCTGGTCACAATAAATAACCTGAAAGTTTCCAGAGCCATTACTTTACCTTCATATAACAGGGCAGTACAATAGTTTAACTTTATGGGAGATAAAGCTAAACATTTAATCAGGATATTGGAACAATATGTTATATAGCCTAAGAGTACTACTTTGAAATTACAATTATAAACAGTTAATAAGGTCACACAGAGTGGGTATTCTATACATTATCTCAAAAAGGAAACTATTGTTCTATTGTAATTAAATTAGGAAATCCACAATGTATTGTAACTCAGCCCTCTAACCCACAGTGTCTTATTTGGGGCTTTAAATATTCCTACTTCTTGGATTCAAGATACCTGCACCACAAGCAGGTGCTTTGTATCTCCTGAGTCTGAACATACAGGGGCATTTCTCAAAGAGCTACAATTACTGATAAGTAACCTTCCTTTTCCAGACTGGCAGTAATATATTCAGAGATTACAAGGCCAGAAGGGACCATCAATTGTCATCATCTAGTACAGGGGTGGGCAAACTTTTTGGCCTGAGGGCCACATTGGGGTTCCGAAACTGTATGGAGGACAGGTGTAGTGTATTAAATTGCTCCCCGTACGAATGTGCTACTTACGGTGTGCTACTTACGGCTGCCAGTCCTGGTGCTCTGAGTGGCACGGTAAGGGGGCGGGGAGCAGGGGGGTTGGATAAGGGGCAGGGAGTCCCGGTGGGCCTGTCGGGGTGTGTGTGTGTGTGTGTGTGTGTGGATGGGGTCGGGGCAGTCGGGACAGGGAGCGGGGGGGTTGGATGGGGGTGGGGTTTTGGGGGGTCGGTTAGGGGCAGGGCGTCCAGGAGGGGGCAGTCAGGGGACAAGGAGCAGGGGAGATTGGATGGGTCGGAGATTCTGAGGGGGGCAGTCAGGGGGGCGGGAAGTGGGAGGAGGCGGATAGGGAATGCAGGGGCCAGGCTGTTTGGGGAGGCACAGTCTTCCCTACCTGGGTGCAGTGTATTAAATTGCTCCCTGTAGGAATGTGCTACTTACGGTGTGCTACTTACAGCTGCCTGTCCTGGTGCTCCGTAATTAGCACATTCCTACGGGGAAAAATTTAATACACTACAGCTGGCGGCTCTCACTGCCGCGCTGCCCGGCAGGAGCTCGTAGCCCCACTGCCCAGAGCACTGGCGGCACGGCGAGCTGAGGCTGTGGGGGAGGGGCTGGGGACTAGCCTCCCTGGCCAGGAGCTCCAGGGCCGGGCAGGACGGTCCCGCGCGCTGGATGTGGCCCGTGGGCCATAGTTGCCCATCTCTGGTCTAGTATGACCTCCTGTATAGCACAAGCCAAAGAACTTCCCAAAATAATTTCAAGAGCATATCTTTTAGAAAAACATCTGATCTTGATTTAAAAATTGTCACTGACGGAGAATCCACCCTGACCCTTGGTAAATTGTTCCAATGGTTAATTAGTCTCACCATTAAAAATTAGGCAAATTCAGACTGGAAATAAGGCACATCTTCAACTTCCAGATTTTTTAAACTACAGTCTCTTACCATTTTACATACTGAACATCTTTTGTCTGCTCCCTTTTCCCCACAGGTTGTACAGAATTCAGCATCCACAAAGCCCACTTGGCCAGTAATAGCTTGTGTAAGTACAGAGAAAGCAGTAGGATCAGAGCCCTGAGGGAAGAGGGAAAAGTTGGGCAATAAAGAGGAGAAAAAACATAATTTAAAGACTGCAGAAATATGACTTGTATATTTAGCAAGAAGTTTTGGTAATTTGTAACTTAAGAGCAAGATGCCTGGTGGCTCTATGCATTTTCACTGAAGTTTCTGTTGTAGCAACAGGAACAGAAAACTAATCATGTGAACCCAGCCGTAATGCAGGACCCTCCACTATTATCATTCATTACACTTACACAAACAGCTGTAGCTTAGGTTTGTCTAGTCTGCAGTTTCTAAAGAAGGGGGATAGAAATTATTTTATTTCATCCTAGAAGCTTGAATCCAATTTTAGGCTAATCAGTTTAGAATTAATATTTACACCCACATTCCAATACTGCCATCACTTTAGAAAGTAGTGGATGTGCAAAATCCTCCCTCACCATTTCTTTCCACCATGTGATCTGCAAAAACTCTGATGGCCAGGATTTCAGAGCTTTTATAGTAGTTTTCAAAATACTGTAGCTGGTCCAGTAAGTCTATGATACAAAGGGCCAAATTCTACCCTTGGCTAAACATGCACAACACCCGATGACTTCAAGGGGAGCTGTGCACCATTAGTCTTGGGCAGCATTAGCCCTAAAGGATAACAGTACACAAACACAGCAACATCTATGCTTCTGATGAAGCATATCTACAGTTGAAAAGCTGTATCTGCTAGTACCACTTTAGCATTAAGTGTGGCTTTAGATAGAGCACAAAGGACTTCTTAATGTCACATATAATATTTTCTTATTGTAACCCCTGCACTTACTACAAAGTATCCTTTGTGAGCCTATAAACAAAAAGCTTTTCCCCATGGAATTTTTTTTAAACACTATGTGCCATTGCTTGAAGAAATGTTAAAAGAGAATGTCTTTCCGATTGAGGTTCTTTCCCCATTTGGAAACAATGGATATTGTCCCTGTATCTAATGCTGCTGAAATTAACATGTACATTTTTTTTGTATTCACTCCCATTTGTGGCATCTGGTGAAGCAGTTCTCCAGTATCTCTGCATAATGGGGCACCACTTCATTTTATTTCACACAGATGCCCATGTGTCTTGATATCAGAGAACATATGCGATGTTCCATTGTTTTAGTTGTTTTGTCATAATTAAAACATCCTGTTAATGTATTTGTTGGATGAATTAATGAACTGTACTTTGTGATATTCTTTTCACTTAGGGTTGGCAGTTTGTAAAGAATATGCAGCAGGATTATGCAAATTAGTGTCTGTACTGGCTAGAAAGAGAAGTTTCTCTTGGCACTGACATACTGGAGTGTTCCATGTCTTCAAATATTCCAAACTGAGTATTTGCAACCTGGAATCTTTAAAATACTAGATACAATTTGCAGACATCCTGCTCCTTCAAAAAGTACAAGCAGTAGCCATCATTATATACTACTTTGGTAATGTTATGAAAATGTTAAGAATCCCTTCTTAGAATGATGCTAACACTGGGGGCAGGGGTGAGGGGGAAGACCAAACAAGTTGTTCCAGCTCAAAAACAAATCTAAAACCATTAAATCATCTGAGAAAGATAGTAATTGCTACACAAGAGACTGGGTTTTTCTCATACTGGATCTGCATAATTATGCATGCCTAAGATCAAGTACTCCTGGACAAACGTAACTGATAGCACAGATTCTTCTAGAGTTTTATAGGTACGCCCAAGAGTGTCAAAGCTGTGCAATGAAACAGATTCATTTGAAGGGAGTCAGTAGGGGAAGAGGAGATTGCCAGGAATAGAGAAAAAAGTAGAAGAAACCGCCGTAAGGGTGCCTTAAACAGTTTGAGACAGTGTATGAACATTGTGTCAAGTATCAGAGGGGTAGCCGTGTTAGTCTGGATCTGTAAAAAGCAACAAAGAGTCCTGTGGCATCTTAAAGACTGACAGATGTATTGAAGCATAAGCGTCCATACATAAGAGAACATGTGTCTGACGAAGTGGGCATTCACCCACGAAAGCTTATGCTCCAATACATCTGTTAGTCTTTAAGGTGCCACAGGACTCTTTGTTGCTTTGTATGAACATTCAAATCATTGTGCTGTCTTTTGTTCTGATCTAGATAAATTACTACTGCAGAAATTAAACTACAGAACAGTCAAATTTATCGGATCCCTGTAAGATGAAGGATATTTTTAATTCATTAAAGTATATAACAGTTGTGTCACAAAATTAATCATCATCCCTATCTTAACACACGTACTGCATAGCTTTCAGAAATAAATGCTGATGTGCTTTCCTCTGAAAAATAAGTCTCTTACAAGATTATAAGCCAATTAAAACACTCTTTAAAGAGAGTCTCCTATCAGACACATATGAGAAGATGTAAAATTAGTTTTTTTACTAGGCATCCATGGCACTGGACACCAACAGCTGTTCATTTTGCTTTTTCCGTTCATAAAGGCAGCTTCAAAAAGATGCTTTTCTTCCAAGTTACCATCACCTATTGCCATTCACTTCTGGCCCGTTGGAAATAATGACTGCAAGAGTCCCAAGAGATCCTGCAGTCCTTACACCCCTTGCTGTTTTGCCCAAGTGCAGGATAAGACTATTAAGCTACGTAACACCACTGAATTTATGGAGTGAGTTTTGCAAGGAGAAACAGGGAGAGAGAGTATCTCTCGCCTCCTCCCCAAATGGAGAGAAATACGAAGTGCTGGCATCAGAATACTCTGCTCTAGTTTTCTGATGTGAAGATTTTTAATAAATAATGTTCCACAGTCAAAGCCACAGTAGGGAAACAGAAACTAGAGGAAACCCAATTGTCAGAGGTCAGAACTTCTACTATATTTGTTAAAGAAGAATTCCCTAGAATCCCATTTTTTTTTTTTTAAATCTCTCAGGGGACATTCAAAACTTTTGCATCCTAGAGAACATAAGTCAAGGGACACAAAGACATGTTAAATTCAATTGAATAATTGGGATTTTACTATGTGGGATATCGAAGTTAATCTGTTTATAAAATAGCGCTTATTTGCTTAATGAGAGACACTTACAATTTCAACTGGAGCAATACTTCTCACCAGCTGCTGGAGCAAGGTAGCTTCACAGTAAGGAAACTTTCGAATGCACTCTCTGATAAGCTTCTCTTGATACACAGGAAAACCATCTGTATCTCTGCCTTTCAATAGACTGAAATTTTTAAAGCAAAAATTAAATGAAAATCCATTAGCAACTAATGATTAGCGTTTACTAACAAGCATGGTCCAGGCTGTTATTTATTCCGCTGTCCCCCTGGCTGCCTTCCTCATACTACAATTTTATGCTAAAATTCAGATTCAAAGTAAATACTGTATTCTCAAAATCACAGTGAAGTTAAAAATGCAAAAGAAGCTTTTTGTACATAATTACACAACAATTTTGAAGTATAAAATAAAATTACAGCTAAGTTTTGGAAACGCATACCCACTGTCTTTCAACTACCTAGCCCAATATCAGCAATGCCAGACATACAGCTTATTAGAGAGGCTTTGCTTTGTTTTAAATTATAAGACATGGCGGCACAGTTCTTGTTTAAAAGTCTATTAGTAATACCACATTATTGTCCTGACTTCACTAAGCTATCTTATCTCCTCTTTTCCCTTATTTATCCTCTTAATTCTTGAATCACTGCTGAATTAATTGATTTTAATATTTTAGAGGCAGGGTTATTTGCTTCATTTATAACCCAGTTTTCAGAAGCACCAACACATCCATTGAAGTCAGTGGGAACTCCAGATGCTCAACACCACTGAAAGTTAAGCACCTAAATCAAAATAGCCTGTCAGAACTTAGGCACTTTTGAAAATCCCACCCAAGATATACAAACCCAACTGGTTTAGAAGCAAAAATTCCACTGGCTTTAAATGGGACTTTTGCTTTATGCCTGCTTGAGTCTATGCTGGGGAGTAGAGTGGAGTAGACAGCAACATGCTCACAGGTGACCTTTGCTATACATTTGAAAGTGTAGCTTGCATCACTTTTACACACACATGCATGCACTACCTACCTTTCTAGTGCTTCAGGGCATTCAGGACCCTGGCCAAGCCAGTCTAACCCACCCAGCCATGTGCCCTATGGGGTGTTCAGTGCTGATGATTGCACCCTTCTTTGCATGCATGAGTTACTCCTGGGGGAATTCTGCGCCAAAAAATTAAAAATTTTGCGCACATTTTAAAGTTCTGCAAATTTTATTTGTCAAAATAGCACTATATAATCACGCCAGTTTCAATTATTTTGGTAATTTATTTCAATATACCTGTCAGCGGGTATGTCTGAATAGAGAGAGAAAAAAATTCCCCCAGGAGTACAGAATCGAAGAAACCCCTATAATAATCCAGTTCCTGTTTCTCTGCCTCCTCCTTCCACAGCCCAGCCAGGGGGCCACTCATAACCCCTCCCCCCAGAGCCCAGCCATGGCACCTCCAGCCCAGACACTTGCATCCTCTACCCTCCTAGAGCCCAGGGATCCAGGGGGGGGAGGGGGGGGGGTAATAGCCTGATGCTGGGTTCCAGGTTTGTATGGAGTTTCCTGTGCGCTGCCTCCTTCCTTCAGGTTGTGCTGGGAACTGCAGCTGCTGGGAACCCTCCAGTTCCCTCCCACTCTCCTCAGCCTTGTCTTCTATTTGTGAGCTGGGTTCTGCTGGGTCCAGCAGCCAGGGCCGGCTTTAGGAACTGTGGGGCCCGATTCGAATACCCGGCGGCGGTCCGGAGCTTCGGCGGCACTTCGGTGGCGGGGGGTCCGCTCTGGGTCTTCGGCGGCACGGGGTCTGCTCTGGGTCTTCCGCGGCACTGAAGGATCACCCGCCACCGAAATCCCAGAGCGGACACCCCCCCACACACACACACACACACAGACCCGGAGCAGACCCCCCGCTGCCAAAGTGCCGCCAAAGACCCGGAGCGGACTGCCGCCGGATGAGTAAAAAAAAATTAAAAAAGGCACCTAAGGCGCGGGGCCCTCTTAGGCGTGGGGCCCGATTCTGGGGAATCGGCCTAAAGCCAGCCCTGCCATCAGCTCCTAGGGGCAGTCAACATTTCTGCCGCCCATTTCCGAAAAAAGGAAATTCTGCGCACACATTAATTTCTGCAAAATTCTGCATTGCTCAGTGGTGCAGAATTCCCCCAGGAGTAATGAGTACTGGATGCCTTTTGTACATAAGTGGTAGGGGATGAGGGCTCCCCTGGACAATGCTAAACTGGAATCTTTCAAACAGTGCAATTTAATCTTGGTAGCTTTTAAACCCCAAATTAACCAATGCTCCAGCTTCACTTCATCCTAATAGGCACATTATTTTTGATATGTATAAAATTAATTTATGTATAGATCCTCAGACTGCTTTTAAATTCTGTATAAATGCACACCTTTTGATTAATCCATCCAGTTTATCTTCTCGCTCTTTGAGAAAATTAATACATTTCTGGAAGATGCAACTGATATAGTGCATTTTAATAGCCAGTACTTCATTCATATCTCTCTGCTTCATGCATTTCTCACAAATCAGGTCCAACACCCTGTAGCATTTCAGCAGTGCTTCTACTTCTGCCAACAGGGGGTTCTCTTTGACCAGCAGCACAATCTACAGGGAACAGTGAAGAGTGTTTAATGTAATGAGGAACCCTTTTTTCCTTTAAGCATGTGAGTTAAAGCATGTAAGTTAGATGGATGAAAATGGAGTTAGCCTAAAATAAGCCTAGAGTGCAGTAAATAGACTGTTCATACATTGAACTAAACACTTTCAAAGACAGGTGCCCAAATTGCTACTCTAAGTAATGCTGTACATAATTACCTACTTGCACATGCCATAGATACCACAATGGTACCTGAACTATTTCCTATTTTAAATGCAGATGAAAACTATGGTATCTCAGATTGGTGATAGCTGACAAATGCTAACTTTCAATCGTAAGCTGTAGGAATTTAGGGCTACTTATTTTCTGAGCTACACATAGAAATAAGCCACAAGATACAGCTTTTTTTTTTGGACTGTTATACCAACAGGTAAAAACATAAGTCAATTGCACATATGTTCAAAAGTCGCAGCAACAGACATTACTGCAATGAAATAGGGGTTAAAGAAAAAAAAAGTAGTAGTAAAACAGCTGCTGTGACACACATTAATTGAAAGAACAGTGAGCTAGCATTAGGACTGGATGTTGCCTGAATTTTCCACTAAAAGAAGGAAGGAAATGTAAAATAGGTTTAAGCATTTATTTCAAGAGTATGAATCTCTGTGACCAGACATGTGAGCTCAGTTTCTGACTTACCTGTACCATACTAAATCTCATGATCTCTTGCATAGTATGGAATAATACCACTTAGTTTGATATCTCAGATTTAATATTCTTAATTATGGGCCAGATTCTGCCATGTCTTCTCATTTCGAAGATCACCTTATTTTGCAAGTAATCCCTTGATCAATAAGCTAATTCTCAACACAAGAGTTACAGAATCTGGTCCTATGCCAATACAGAAGATGAACACATTACTGCACCTTAACAGGATGCAAGTTTGTAGTAGTAATAATTTTGTGAAGAGGCCCAGCTAACTTCACTGGCAGTTTTGGTTCTTTATCTAGTCCTTGTGGTTTAGTGTAGTAGTCTAGCCTTTCCCGTGGAAAGAAGTTGTTGATGATGGTCACGCAATCATGTTGACCTAAAATTAAAAAAAAGCGCCATTAAGAGTGAAAATGTAATTTAGTTATTACTACCTCCTCCCCCAATCCCCACAGGAGCTGGTTTAGCACAATTTTTAACTTTTGGCAGTAAACAGGTACATATAAGATGTCAGGCTGTAGGGACTGAAAGAGAAACCCCCCTAATTTCTTCTCCCCAAGATCCTTTAACAATATATTTAAGATTAAGCCACAAGGGGATCAGTATTCCTCTCAATAATCCCCACATATTTTCTTATTCAAAAACATACAGGGGTCTGCCATATTGGTGTCAGCAAATTTTCAAGAGGAGCTCTCTGGCAATTGTGCCCTCCTGCTATTCATTTTGAGAGAGTAATCTATTCACAAAAATAGGTCAGAGCATTGTCTATAGGATGCATGGGATGTAAGCAGGGGAGGCCTAAGACACATTAGAACAGTTCCTCGAGGTTGTGTTAAGAGAAGAGAAGAGACGAGACACTGGTTGTTGGAACTGGACATCATCAATCTCAGGATTTAGAGCACTAGTTAATTCATGAGAAAGGAACAGGTAACCAGCGAAACTAGAGAGTCTTAATCACATCTTCTTTTGGACAGCAGGAGAATAGGTGCTATATTAATACTTTGTATTTGGATAATAAGTGCCATATAAATATCTCAAAGCACTTTGCAAAGGTGCATAAGGATCTTCATTTTATAGATGGGAAAAGAGAGGCACAGACTGGCTTTGTGCTTTGCCCAAAGACACACAGCAAATCAATAGCAGAGCTGGAAACAGATCTCAGGTCTACAGTACCCTGCTGTAACCATTAGATAAATAAAACTTGCTGGACAATTCTCCTAACACCCCTGGGATGCAGGCTGGTAAATATTATTTCCCTTTTTATAGATGGGGAAACTGAGCAGAGGGTGAAATGACTCATCCACAGCAAGTCAGTGGCAAAGTCTACATTAGAACTTCCCAGTCTGTCTTATGGTTTGGAAAGTGATGACCCAGTGTAATTTACACACTTTTAGCACAGTAGCAACTGTCTTCGCATATTTCAGCAGAGTGGAGGATCATAGGTATTCTAACATTGTTGAGAATGAAATCTGACTGTCTGCTCACTCATTATAGGAGGAGACATGGGATAAAATCTAATCCTCTGTTTTTAATCAATTAATGTAGAAATGTGAAGTAATGTTCCTCCAAGAATAAACAGTTTAATCCACCAAACCATATAATTTTATAGCCCTGGTGAAAATTAGGAGATCATTTCAATTTACCCACAAAGGCAGCCATCTGAGCTGCTGTCCTTCCCACAGAGTTGACAACATCAGTCTCTGCTCCAGCCTCTAACATCATCCAGGTGATTTCTTTGCTGCCTGTATTTGAAGAGAGAAGACATACAGAGTTTTGTTTTGTCTTTTGTAGATGCACATAATTTGAGAAGACTAGTAGCTAATTTCAAGTTGAACTTCAAGACCTAAAAAGGACAACATTGACACAACAAATCCTTGATGTCCTTGGTTTAAAACAGTGGATTAAAGAGCCAACAGTATTTTTCTCTTATTTGCAAAGCCCAAGGAATAAAAATTCACACTCTCAGGCTCGGAATCTGCCCTCAGTTATGCATGTTCAATTCCCACTGAATCAAGTGTGTATCTCTCAATGCCAAGATTTGCCCCCCCCAGCGGGTAGCAATATAGATGCAAAGCCTGCTATTCTAGTTTGACAGTACAACTACAGCATCTTGTCTTCTAAGAGAAGAACAAATTCAGTACTATTATGGAGCAGAAGTGTAGAGCAGAGAACAGATTGTTCCTTTCTTCCCAATGGGAACTAGGTATTCAGGCTGGGATAAATACCAAATAAATAAGATGAAGCTAAATTTGTTGGCAAAATTATATCACTTAACTAGTGCCCTTCAGGGAGACTAATAAAGACATTTGTGACCAGGCTTGTTGGTTCTATTTTCCAGATGTGCTCTTCCTTTACTTTCTGTTTTTGTGGGACTGCTGACTAGGGTGACGTGACTATAAAGGAGAAAAAAATATAAATGTTTCTTGCATTTGCTCTAATTTTAGAGTGACACTGCTTCAGCTGTGCTCACATTCTTTTTGAGCTCAAAGATTAAAAGTCTGAAAACTAACATTCAGGAGTATTCATACTGGAGATTGCGGGCCACTGATTTCACTCTACGTCTAAACTAATATCTTACACTAATGTCTCCACACCTAGCTAAGAGTTTATATTAATTTCTCTGGGAATTATGCTTTGGGAAAGACCTGAGTGACCCAGAAAGGAAGAAGTTTAAAAAGAGTCAAACTTCCCTAATCCTTATCTTCTACCCCTCATTCAGAGATTTAAAGCCCTTTTCCTGATTGTAAGAGAATTATTGCTTATCTAAATCAGGGAACAGAAACAATACCATATGACCAGTGACAAATAACAAATTGAGCTCAAAGTTCAAGAATCAGAAACACGCAGTGAACTGTTAGTGATCAATCCCTAGAGGAAGGAAATTGGGTGAGGGATCTATTCCTTACCAAAGTTTCGCTAAATACATTCAGAGGAACTATAATCTGTTTGCAGCCCAAGACTTGCAGAAAGACTAAATTTGACAAGCCTCAGAAGTATTAAAATAGCTTTGCTTATTAAAAGCTACAGTTGGAGAGTCCACCCATCCTTCAGTAAGGGAGTGTCTTTCATAGAAACTCAATGTAATTAAACAGAATTCACCCTGCTGTGCAGAAAAATCATTGCATGACAGATGGAATTTTAAGGCTCCAGGACTAAGTACGGCAGTATTCCTCCCTATACACTAGGAATTATATAGCATATGCCTCAAATAGATGAACAAATCTACTTAATATAGGACAAAATAAGTCAACAGCATCTTTCCTGCATACTGGGTTGTACTAGTACTTCTGCAGTTACACAGACCCACCCATTACTTAAGTAATAACATCTTTTTATTATTCCATCCTAAGGCAGTGTCCTGAATTATGAAATATTGCAACCTGTTCATAGGCCTGTTGTCTAGATAGCAATATTATAAAAATTTGAAAATACAAATTTAGAAAGAGTTTACCTGAGAGTCCAGCAAACATCAAGGCAGTATATCCATGCTCGTGTTCATTGCAGTTAACATCCGCTCCATGCCGCAAGAGCAACCTGCACATGTCAGCTTTCGCTTTGTATGCTGCATGCATTAAAGGGGTCATGCCATGCTAATGAGAGAAGAATCAAGAAAGAAATATACGCACTTGTGGTAATTACATTTATAGATCTTTGTACTGTTCAAGACTCCCACCTGGTAATTACATACCCATGTACAATGCCTCATTTGACGTGTGGGTTAACAAAACCAAACCATAAAGCAAAGTGTTGGGTAAAAGGACTATACTGTATGTATAATGGATTTCACACTTATTCATTACACTGTTTTATTTGCATATCTTCTATTCTGTATTATTACCATGCAAAATACCTATCGCCATTTGCAAAAGGCCTCTACATGTACTTAGCGTTAAAGACAGATTATACCCTATAAACCTAGGAAAGTTGCCAGCCTCCTAGGTTGGCAAATGAAAGTTTTTTCCACTGCACACATGTGGGAGTAAGAATATTTAGTTCAGGCTCCTCTCAGTCTATTACCAAGATTTATAGACACCCAACTGTGAAAGTCATGCTGTCAATTCTTAATTATAATTGATGGAGCTGTAACTGTATTACCACTCCTCCCTCCCACTTACCACCTATTCGCAATACCAAAAATATGAGGGAAGGGTTCACCCAGTAGCTGAAGGTTTTTCCCCAGAACTTCTCTGGTGTAACTACAGCAGTGCAGTTATACAGGTTCTAACTCCTTCTGTAAACCCACTTCAATTGTGCAAAAAAAGGGGTGAGCTGTAGTAAATGGTTCAGTGTGTCTGCATTAGGGGTTTGTACTGATGCAACTACAACTATGTAGCTACATTAGTGTATACTTCCCCACTCTAGCCTAATCTTAAGGGAAGCTTTAGCAACCAGGATGACTTGTTGTGAGGACTATAACCTGACCTTGATTGAAAAGTGAATGAAAATTACGAACACTTCTAATTGAACAACTTGTGCCCAAATAAATTTGTTAGTCTCTAAGGTGCCACAAGTACTCCTCGTTCTTTTTGCTGATACAGACTAACATGGCTACCACTCTGAAACTTCTAATTGAAAGTATGAGGTATGGCAACGTACCCCCTCCTAATACTGGAGAATTGAGAGGAATGCATTTTAGTGAGTCACGTTTTCTAAACGAAAGTGTCTGGACGGGACAGTCTCCATTTTGTAATCCAGATCATTGAGTTTAGACAGCGGTGTGCATGCAGCCAGCCCTGCATTAGGAAAGGTCACAAGTTTGAAATAATCTAATCAGGTGGTTAGTTTAGTGCTCAGTCTGGGGGACAGTGTCTAATGCTATACAGTAGGGTCAACAGTGAGCATACGATCATTAAGGCTGCAAATCTGTCATGGATTCTGTGACTTTCCGGGATCTCTGTGACTTTTGCAGTGGCTGAGGTGGCTGGCCCAGGGGCCCCTGAACAGCTTGGGCAGCCCCTGGACCAGCCGCATGGGCTGCTGCTGGGGTAGTCTCAGGCCGTGCCCCTCCCTGCAGCAGGAGTTTGGGTGTGAGAGGGGGCTCCCCGGAACCAGCAACATGTCCCTACCTCAGCTCCTAGGTGAAGGGGCCAGGGGGCTCTGCGTGCTGCCCACACTCGCAGCTCCCACTGCCCACGGTTCCTGGCCAATGGGAGCTGCAGAGCCGGCGCTCGGGGCGGAGGCAGTGCGTGGAGCCCCCTGGCTGTGCCTCTGCCTAGGAACATGTCGCCATGCGGAGCCAGGTAGGGAGCCTGCCACCCCCACACCCCACCTTCCCCCAGCAGCAGCACAGGTCCCAGGCTACCCGCTGCCCCCCCCCCCCCTGCCAAGAAACCCCGGGCTGCCCCTCCCCCCCCCCAGAGCACCCAAAATTTAGTCTGGAGTATATAGTACAAGTCATGGACAGGTCATGGGCCATGAATTTTTGTTTACTGCCCATGACCTGTCCATGACTTTTACTAAAAATACCCATGACTAAAATGTAGCCTTAACAATCATTTCTCAAGAAAGCATCCAGAAACCTTGACACCCCCTCTCCCCCCCGCAACTGCACTGGGCCAAATATAGATAAGAATGCATAATAATCCTTTGGAGCAGATATCCGCTTAAAATTGTAGTATAGTTTTTGGACTTAAGGGTTTTCGGGAAGAGGGGGCAGAAGAGTGAGCATAGCTTAGACTTAGGCAATGTCTAGGGGTAATGCATTCTACAGGGTGTGATTTTTAAACACACACTAACATAGGGTTACCGTATTTCAGGTTCCCAAAAAAGAGGACACTGCTACAGTGGGGTGAGCGGGAGCTGAGGGAAGAGGGGATCCTAATGTCATGGTAGTAGGGCGGCTGGTGCAAGCCCAGGATGCAGCAACAGCCGTCACTCAGCACCTCCCTGCAGGACCCCCTCCCCATACCTCGAAGCTGGGGCCTGGGTGGGCGAGATCTGTCAGCTGTGGCTTGCAGGGGAATCGACCAATCAGCTGCAGATGCAGGGGAGGGACCACTCAGGAAGCGGACCAATCGGGGGTCTTTCTGAGCTGCACCTTGTCTGCTCTGCAAAAACCCTGGACATTTCCTGTTATTTGAAAAATCTGCATGGACAGAGAAAGGAAGCTCCAAAACAGGCTGTGTCCGGGAAAACCCTAGACTAACCTGTTGCATATTAAATGGTCTGTGTTGGTCCTTGAGACTTCTATACTGTCCTCTCTCTTTCCTCCCTTCCCCTAAAAAGGACTGTTCCCACTTCAGAGCTAGTCAATGCCACTGGCTCCTTAGTCAGCCAGCATGCATGCTGTAGGGCAAAGCACCGTTGTTTTGATGGCACAGTTATCCAATAATGCAGAATTTGCTTGAAAATACAGGGATAACCTGCGATAGCATGACTTCTTTCAGAATTAAAACTTGGAAGAATTGCAATAGGAAATGCAGATTACAAGCTCTTTGTGGGCTTCATGTTATACCATTTCACCTGTCAACAAAGCCTGTAGAGAATTTGAGAGAAAACACATACTATATCTAAGCTTAAAGATATTAATCCTCTGAAATACTTTTATAGATTAAGAGTAGTTCAGAGGCTTACTAATAGCTGCAGGTTGAAAAGCTATTCAGAAGTCTGCCACTTCCTATGTACTAAATTATAGAGTTATTTAGCTCCTTGGAAGCCTGCAGACCTCTAAATAGCTTTCCAACCTGATACTTCTCCTTGATAGACCCACTAAGATACTTTTAATTTAGAAGTTTTGTTGTACCTCATCCAAGCAATTGACACGGACATTCTTGCTGCCCAAGAGCCTTCCAGCTTCTTCAGTGTTTCCTTAAAAAAAAAAAAAAAGTAAGAGGTTAAAAATAAAATAAAATGGTGTTCCATCAAAAGTAAGGGGTTAAAAGGGAGGAAATGAAGAATCAAAGCAATGCAAAATCTTTCTATTTCTGATTTTAAATGAAATACTCAGACTAAATTTGTTACCAAGCATGAAGAAACTCAGGGATGAATAATATTACATTCTAGAAGCTAAAAGCCAAGAAGTTTTTAAAATCAAAGTAAAGTAATTAGAAGACTTGAATTAATGGGAAATGACTGCTCAGGAAGGAGTACTGCAGAAAGGGATCTAGGGGTCATAGTGGACCACAAGCTAAATATGAGTCAACAGTGTAACGCTGTTGCAAAAAAAAGCCAACATCGTTATGGAATGTATTAGCAGGAGTGTTGTAAGCAAGACACGAGAAGTAATTCTTCCGCTCTACTCTGCTCTGATTAGGCCTCAACTGGAGTACTGTGTCCAGTTCTGGACGCCACATTTCAGGAAGGATGTGGACAAATTGGAGAGAGTTCAGAGAAGAGCAACAATAATGATCAAAGGCCTAGAAAACATGACCTATGAGGGAAGATTGAAAAAATTGGGTTTGTTTAGTCTAGAGAAGAGAAGACTGAGTGGGGACATGATAACAGTTTTCAAGTATGTAAAAGGTTGTTACAAGGAGGAGGAAGAAACATTGTTTTTCTTAAACCTCTGAGGATTGGACAAGAAGCAATGGGTTTAAATTGCAGCAAGGGAGGTTTAGGTTGGACATTAGGAAAAACTTCCTAACTGTCATGGTGGTTAAGCACTGGAATGGAGGTTGTCGAGTCTCCATCATTGGAAATTTTTAAGAGCAGGTTAGACAAACACCTGTCAGGAATGGTCTAGATAATTAGTCCTGCCACGAGTGCAGGGGACTGGACTAGATGACCTCTCGAGGTCCCTTCCAAGTTCTATGATTAAAGAAAAATTGCTTATGTGAAGCAATTAGACTATTCTATAAACTTGAGCTTGGGAAATTAATATATCTTTTTTCCTAAGTTGTATCAGGACAGCTCTGACTTGGTAAATAAATACAAAGGGAATGTTTTAAGGTATTGTATATAAACGTTCACATAGATATCAAAGCCTTTAACTAATGACTAACATCCTTCTCCCAGTAACTTTGAATATTAATTAGATTGAGAGGTATTACTGTGCTTTGAAATCTTTGTTTGTCAGAATGAAGAATGATTTATAATTTACTTTTTTTTTGGTTTACATTTGCAACGCCCCTTCCTACTCTGGCCAAAAAACAAACCAACCCACCCACTCTAAAATTCAAATCCAAAAAAGTGTGTTGTAACGGCAGCTTACCATACTGGTTCCACAAGCTGAATTCACTCTAAAAGGTCTGAGTATTTTCTATGAGGAAGGAGTGTGTATGTGTCCTGTTTCTCATAACACTTACAATGGTATCGTATAATGCGTATATACTCGTTCATTAGCCCGTTCATTTACAAGCCAACCCCTCCCCCCCCCACAGATGGTTAGGTAAAAATAACAAAAACTGTATGACCCTTTCATAAGCTGACCCTATATTTCAGGGGTTGGCAAACTTTGGCTCCCGGCCCGTCAGGGTAAGTCGCTGGCGGGTCGGGACGTTTTGTTTACTTGGAGCGTCTGCAGGCATGGAGCCCCTCAGCTCCCTATGGCTGTGGTTCACCGTTCCCAGCCAATGGGAGCTGCGGGAAGTGGCGCGCCATTGGCTGGGAACGGCAAACCGCGGCCACAGGGAGCTGAGGGGCTCCATGCCTACAGACGCTCCAGGTAAACAAAACGACAAACAAAACGACATTGTATTAGATATTCAATTCAATGATTCCATAGAGTTTAAAATCATCAAATTTTGGTGTAGATCCGTTTATAAGCCGACCGCTGCTCTTTGATGCGTCACCTTTTTACCAAAAATATTCGGCTTATGAACGAGTATATACGGTAAGTACAGTAGATATGGGTGTGTGTGAGAAGAGATCGAATAAGGGAGGGAAGTGGGTTCATCAGTGACCAAGGCAAGAAATATTGGAGGAAAACTCTAAGTGCATTTAAACTTGGATATTTCTCTGATGTGTGATAGATTTCCAGGTTGGAATAAGAGATAATGGTTTTGTTGTTTCTGGATAGTACTTTCATACTTATGTCTTAAGATGATTTTATAAAAAAGCCATTCATAAAATAATTTTGATGTAGCTTTCCTGTTGATCATAATATTTGTGCTGTGTACAAATTTTAAGGTGTGTATTACATTGAAGATGTTTGATTTTATAGCTACTATTGATGAAGAAAGTGGGGTGTGCAAAAAAGTAAGTTGATAGTAAAAATCCCAAACTTAAAAGAAAAAGGTTATGAATTACATTTACAAGAATGCAGGGTAAATATCTCACTTTTGAAATTCAAATTCTAATCTTTTAAAAAGCCTGGTTCTGCATCATTATTCTGACAGTAGTAGCAGAAGATCTGAGATCCTAATTCATCAAAGACAATGCAAGTGATGATAGTACTGTATTAAATACTAAATTGTTCTGACCTTGGGTTCTATGAGAACTGGTTTCAAAGTCAAATTAGTGGGACATTACTACTATAATATATCCATGTCAGACATAATGACTGTATTTCTTGAGCGAGTGGTCATCAAGACCAAAAGACAGAACTGTGTCTAATCTCCAGCCCAGCCCCAAACTCCCACTCTACCAGTGTCCTAAACCAATATCCATTATTTAATGACAAACAAATGAAAGCCTATCCTTTTGTTCATGGGACAAAGAGAATCCAAAAATATGACAACATAAAAATAAAATTACCTGGCATGAGTTGGTTAAACAAAGACAGATACTAATAAATACTTCAGCAGTTAGGTTGTGGGAATGTTTGTTTGCCTTGTTCATAAGCAAACCAAAGTGCAGCCACGTTATTTTTTTAAAGACTAATTTTTTAGAGTTTGAAGAACAGAATAGGCTGTGCCTGCATAAGTCTCAAACTTTTGCCTACAAAATCCTTTCTATTGAGCCACAGGGATACAAGCTTGATCCAAAGCCCACTGCAGTCAACGTAAAGACTCCTTTAGGTTCTACTGGCTTTGGGTCAGGCCATAACTGAACAGAAAACAGGGAAAGTGGGAGAATGAGGGGAGGAAAGTGGTCTGTATAATTAAAAAGTTCTAGAACCCTTTAAATGAATGATAAAGCTTATTTTGACCTGGGGGATGGGGGTGTTGGAGAATGAGATATGTAGGTGTTCTCTAAAGCAACCTTTCAGCATAACAATACTTGAGACTTTGTCTTTACTTCATCCCCTCCCCAGGAAAGCATGCCAAGTGACAGATAATTTGTTTTAAATAACTGTTTAGTGCAGTCAGATCACACCATAACAAGCTTCCTTTTGTGTGATTTTCCAGGAAATCGGGGTTGTACAAAGAGGGTAAATCTAGAGACATTTCGCCTCAATGTTCTTCACAGCCATGCAGCTAAATATGCTGAGTGAAATGAGGGCCATTGTCCATTAGTTTAGCCCCCAAATTAGTTTTTATAAAGTAAAAAAACCCAGTATTATTAGAACTGTTAAATTAAGATATTTAAAAACATTGCTGTTCTGTTGAAATGTTTAAATCCATTGTGGTAACATCTGAGAACCAGACATTTTAGCTTTGTTTGTTTTGTTTTTTGATCCAAGCTGAAATGCAAGTAAATCAAAACCATTAATGATGACAAACATTTGATTGTTAAAAAGATTTCCAGCGTATCACTTAGGACCCCAATCTTGCAAAAAAGACCTATGCACAAGCTTATTAACTTTTTGGCGACTAGCGCATCCCTTGGCCCATGCCGCTTCCCGCAGCCGCCATTGGCCTGTAACTGCGAACCACGGCCAGTGGGAGCTGCGATCGGCCGAACCTGCGGACGCTGCAGGTAAACAAACCGTCCCGGCCCACCAGCAGATTTCCCTGACGGGCCGGGAGCCAAAGGTTGCCGATCCCTGGCTTACACTTATAACAAGAATGGGATGAAAATACTTTAAAGCGTATCCGTGTTTAAGATGTGGTTTATATTTTTATGGCAAAGTTTTAAAATTATATTACTTGCCTTAAAGTTTTATTTTTAAGTAATTATAATTGTGCAAATTGTAAGTAACTGGAAAATACTGTGATCATGTTCATTTTTATTAGAGGAGCACTGTCAACTATTTGCAAGTTGTTTGCTTACTATTGCTAACAGTAGCTCTGAAGATTACTATAACTGACAGAAATTAGAAGGAAAAAAGTTTGTTTCCTTTCCCCTCCCACCACTCAGTTGGGTTACTTTGTGCATTTGACTGCACTCTGGTTATAGTCAGTTTCCCCGTTTCCCTTGTAAAATCAGTTTCCTCTATTTTTGTGGGTCTTTCATATGCTAATAGGCCAAAGAAAAACATTATAATTTCCTGTTCAGGCTTTTAAAAAGTCAAGAGCAGATTAAAAAAAAATTACTAGATTTCAAGATGGTCCCCCCTCCCTCCAAAAGTCTCTCTGCAGAACAAACAGGCAAACAAAAACCTAAGTCCCCTGTTCCACTTGCTGTTTATGAATAGCAAGTGATCAGCATCTGGAACTAAATAAGGAAGCAGACATCAGCAATGCGTTGAACAGGCTCATCCTCAGGTCATTTTCATATATATAGATTCAGAAAACTACATTTTGGATCCTGTATGGCCACAGATCAGCATGAAAAGTGATGTCATTTTCCTTGGCCAGGATAGTAACAGATGAAAAATATTAAGGACCCAGCAATCCTATTATTTGATGGGAAGTGTTTTTGAGAAGTTAACACACTGAAACACACTACAAAGAAGCCATTAGCTGTTTAGATATTAGCCAGGGAACATGCTAGTGCAACGTGTACAATAGGAGGGTATGTGTGTGTAAGTATAAAAATTTGCAGTGAGACATCCCCATACCTACCAACTACACAACATAATAAATCCTCTCTAAATCTGGGGCAGGACTGATTCAGAACCTGAATTATATGTGTTCCCCCATGTAGAGCTAGGACAAGAGGGAAAGGAGCCAGCATTGTGTGAGCATTGTGTCACCTCCAACAGATATAAAAAGCTGTTCGCCCACATGGATCCCTGTGAGCAGTAGGGTGTGAACAGAGCCGGCCCTAGACCAGATGGCATTCCCCCTCCACTTGTTAAACTTTTGAATACCTTATTTTTTATTGCATTTGTAGCTCATTTCATGACTTTGATGCATGATTTGCATGCATGCTTTATCCCTATCGTATAAGACGATAAATTTGCACGCTAGGATATGTAAATCTGTATTCCTGCCATATAAAAGCGAACAAAAATTTGTTTCCTCTAAGCTATTTAATTTTAAGAATAACTGAAATGTACTAACATCAAGAAATTGAACTGTGCACCAACATTGGGTGGACCAGTATTAAATAGTGTTACAGTAGGTGACAGCCTTAGAGTGTTAACCCTAGTCCTTTAGTTCAAAAGGTCACTTTTCTTGCCTTTGCCCTCACAAACTGAAGCACCGAGTCAGAGAGATCCAAAGACTGGCCAATGGCATTCTCAAGCAATAAAGTAGCAAGTGATGTCAGTCTTTCATCGGCCATCGTCGATCAAAGATATGTTTTAATGAACCTTAGCTTCGAAAAGCTGTGCTCCACTTGCGACTGTGACTGGCAGCATAAGCAGAATCCTCAAAGCTATCCACACATTAGGAAAAGTGTCCTTCAGCTCTGCATCATAAATGAATTGAGAACCTGGGGTGGAGAGTGCTTCCTGTGTGGCAAAATGTGATGATGTTGTCCAATTCAACGTAGAGGTCTTTATCAGCGACGTCCAAACATTCCCATGTCAGCGTCTATACAATGGTTCAAAAGTGATTTCCTATCCTCCAGCAGCTTACTAAGGTCATACAAAAAAACCAACCAAACAAAAAAAACCCCAGGTCTTTTCATGGTGCTTTATTTATCCGAACCTTTCTTTGATGGGCACTCGAGCAGTGCCAACAAAAACACTCCCTCGAATTTTTCTTCTGAGCTTGCCATGGCGTCATCTCTGCCTTCATAACCAAACAGTCTTGTCTTCTGGTGAATACAGGCTCAACTCCTAAGTTTTCCACCATTTCTTTAGCAGTGATAGCACCTTAAAATCTGTTGTCTTTGCAGGCCACAACGAACTCAAGACAGCTTCTCATCAAAGTAGTAGTGGTGGTCGCAATGTCCATTGACTGTCCTTGCTTACAACATTTACTTGGAACAGAATATTGTGCCCAACCACATTTGAGACCAGAAATTTGAAGTCAGTGATCTGGTTTGCCAGGCTTTGTGCCTCATGTCAGATTCCAGCCTTGACTTTACTCGACTGTACCAGTTCCATCAGGGTGTTGTAAATCTCAGTCACTTGGTACCTCACTGGCCTTATGCTGTCAATGCGGCTATCCCAGCAACTGTCACTTAGAGGCTTCCCGGTCAGATTTGTAACACTGTCCGTGAGGATTTTCCACCTGATAGTTGATGCTGAATAGGACATATATCCTTTGCAGTACTCTGAAGAGAGATACTGAATCTAACGAAGATGACACTGCATCTGACACAACCAGATTGAGGGAATGACAGCCACAAGGCACGAAGAAGTCTCTTGGATTCAGTGCAAGAATCCTTGCCTGGATGCCACTATCTCTTACCTTCATGTTCATGCCATTGTCATAGCCTTGGCCACGGCAATCCTGAAGCTTTATTTTATTCTCATTCAAAATGTTCATAAACAGTTCTTTTAGGCCTTTTCCAGTAGAGGCATCCACAGACCGGAAACAGATCAAGTGTTTATTTGGATACAGACATCCTTGTCAACTAATCTTACTGTAAATGACAACTTTTCACTGTGACTAATTATTTGTTTGCAAGGAAGAGGATAATTGAGATCAGACGCTAGAGCATGTTCTTCCAGTGCTGGGTTTCTACATTAACAATGTGCTGGTTTTCTGCGTCTGTGCATTTATTCATCTTGAGCCCGGACTTGACCTCCATCCTTTTGGAGTAGGCCATAAAATGGTGGGGTTGCTTCAGAGCATCAGCTAAATTATGCCAGTAACTTTACCCAGAAAGCACAAACAACAATTTGGCATTCTTGTCAAATATTTTGCAACAAAACCAGAACACATTGTTAATTTCAATTAAACTAATCAATGCCAATTCAGTTTCTCACCATTACCAAGCACTTTTTCGCAGTGTGACTTTGAGAACTGTTCTGCTCATTTACTGGAAACGTCATATCCTCGATTTTGCTGGCATGATCAATATCTGTAGAGTTTAGGATCGCCAGCCATAAAGCAGGCTCTGATGTATCTATCCGTGGTGTGCAATTTTTCTCACGGCTGTTTCTGTCATCATGCAAGCCTAATTCTTCTTTATAATTTCTCTCCTTTTCATGTGAACCACATTCTTCTTTATCATCACTCTCCTGTACATGGCCAGGAAAACTGGATGATTCTCCACCACTTTCCTCACATTTCCATTCCTTATCTTCAGATAAATCTAATAATTCCTTAGTAATAGGACTTCCATCATTTATGCTTTGCTCAATTTCTTCTACACTGGGACGATCACTACTGGCCTAAAGTCTGGTCTATGTTGTTCTGTTTCAGATATTTTGCCATCAAATTTGCCCCTTGCTGCAAACTAGACTGCAATTGAGCTTTTTACTTCCTACACTGAGCTCCTGAAGGCTTCTTTGGGGGCATCTTTTATTTTCTACATGGAAAACAGACAATATTAGGGAATGCAAAAGTCTATGTTCTGCAATCTTAGAAAGTCATCAAACATTACATGTTAAGCATGGCAAAAAAAGTAATAGTATTTACTGTATATTGCTGTGTAGATAGGGGTTCGATAGATATCTCTGGTGTCTCATTAAATATGTCCTTTATTAGTCACTATTTACACTCTTAAGTCTTAAAACACAAGTACACTTTCACAATTACACACTAGAACAAGGCTCACAATATCGCAGCTGGGTTCTCACTTCACTTTGATTCAGTCTTATATCTCACTGATTGACTAGCGACACCCTGTCCCTTACATACCTGCGAGGGCATGGCTAACAACACTGTAGGATGTTCGAGGAAAACGTAGTTCTCAGAAA